ATCCATCCATCCATCTATTTTCAACAGCGCTTATCCTAAAAAGGGTCGTGGGGGTGGCTTCGGGCGAAAGGCGGATTGCACCCTGAGCTGGTTGTCAGTCTGTCGCAGGGCACATATTGAGACAAACAACCAAACACACCAACATTCACACCGTCACTGAGTGGGAACCTATCCCACGCTGCCTGCTCACAAATCAGGCAAGTGTACCGTTAGATTAAAAAAAAATCAAATTCACAAGTGTTGAATCACAAGTCTAATCATTAAGCTGGACCGTCCCTGAATTTAGATTTACCAAATAGAAAAAGAAACACAAAATCTAACAGAAAGACAAAAAAAAAAAAAAAAGGCCAGATAGGACTATGACACTGATAACCAACACAAGATTTATGAGTGTAGCTATTTTATGGTCAATAACATTCCCCGCCAGCACACTCAAAGAGTACCAGGTGTGAGAATAAGAAATGATAGAGCATCTTGATACATTTACATCTTTCTAGATGTTATCACTTCATGGAACCTCTCTCATATTGCATTTACTCCTCAGTGGGAAGATAAAATGCATCAAATCTGTTCTGAATGTGTCTGGTGAATAACAGGGTTTAAGGCGGTGGCCAAGATGTTTGGCATCTTGGGCTGTTATATTGGCTCTGACAGAAAGCAATAAACAAACCAAACGCAATATTCCTCCTGACTCAGAGATTCCAATTAGCTTGCGAGTGCGAAATGCACACTTAGACTCAGACATACTTCTCAGCCAATTCGACTCTTACAGAACTAAGTCTATTGATTGTTTAGATGCCACTAAATGCCCTCCATCTGAAACCAAGCTCTCTTAATTAGTGCCAACAACTTGGCCACTGAATTATTGCCCAACTTCATGTAGGCATGTAGTCTTCATCTGGACGCCTTGACAAACCACATCAAAATCACACGCATGGTCTCTTATGAGGATTTTCAACAGTAAATTCTTTTGAAAAGATAACTCAAAGTCTTTCTATGATCATATCTATAAGTCACCCATGAGTCAAATTCATTCACGGGCATTGCGTTGCAAGAGAAAGAAGTAAATAAAATAGTGTACACATGGAGAAAAAACACACACACTATTAGGACCACCCGATGCACCGAGCACAGTCAGACCCAAACAGCATGACACCAGCTTTGGCAAATTACTCCCAAAACATAATACAGTATGCTGTACTAGTTAGTTGTTATTACTGTTACTAGTTATTGTCATTCTGTGTTTTGCCGCAAAGCCATAATTACTAAAATAGTGCTTATTTTGTATACTATTATTACACACCAATATATGCAAAGACATAAGATGCTGGTTGTTCTGTGACAGTAGAGACATCTATTAACAACGGGAACACCAAATTGACCTTGCCAAACAAATTAAGTCTGGGCCTACGGTACCAACTGATACTGTAACATGTTTATTGGCCAATGCAGACATGTGAAATTTTTACTTTGGGGAAACGGGACACAAGGCAGCTGTCTCTAATGATTGTGTATTATTAGAGGTGCAGCACGAAACCTGCCAGAGGACATCACTCCCTCTATGAGAGGCAGGAGCATCGGAAACCCATTAGAAACACCAGTCAATTACAATGCCCAATGGATAGATTTTGCAGTCAAGCGTGGTTAAGCTCAACATAAACTAATGGGGAGTCTTTAAATGAGCTTGACCTGCATATGATTTTAATTAGCTTTCCTGCCCCAAAGGCTTCCATTAACAGTTAAAAAAAAAATCAATAGAACTGCTATTGATGCAACGAGAGAGTTTAAGCAATGTCCGAACACTTCACGAATTCATTGCTGATAGAAAGAACGAGTGAGCAGAAATCAGCACATCGCAATATAGGCATTGTTGTTGACAACAGCCATATTGATCATGTCTGTTTATCGCAGGTTTGTCTTGGGGCTGTCCCAAACCACACTTTCATAGCGAATCTTCATGGGTGAAAAAGTGTGTGTGTGTGTGTGTGTGTGTGTGTGCGCGCGCGCGCGCGTGCGTGAGCATTCTTTGGTACAGTATTATTACATTCATGTCACCTC